ATAACCCCATCTGGAAAGTGAATTGATTTTGGTTAATATCTTTGAATCCTTGCTTTTTTAACAGCAGATTATTCGGTATATATCGACGCCGGAAAGCGATCTTGTCGTATCTCGAAAAATAGGACTACATCGGCGCCGAAAAACTATTTAAAAAAATTATTTCTCTTTAATTTGAATTATATAATTATTATGATAGTATGTTACACACACATAGCTTAACAGGTACTATACTACAGTGTTCAAGATCATGAACTATGGATTGACTTAAATTTAAATTTCTTAGATGTAAATGCCGTGAGAAATATTCTCTTGATTTACTTTACACCATTTTAAAAATCATCCTTAATTTTGTTTTGTTTTCGTTGATTTCCTTAATCATAGCGATGAGTAGTAACAAATAAGAGTTAAGATTTGTTAATTTTTATTCATCATTCAATAATATTATCCAAGTCGAAAGTATTTTCTAATAATAAAATCCCACGGTTAAAGATTTATTGGAAATTATTAAAAAAGCTTACTGGCAAAATGAACTATACTGTAAATGGCGAATTTGTGGTGCAGAAAACACTACATAAAAAAATAAATATCTTTTTTAGTGCACAGACATGGCCAGTGTCATTTTTGTAAGGACGATCGTCGCCATTGTCAGTTTTGCTGTGGTTTTTTCAATAGATATCTTACTCATTACGTTTGATAGACACTTATGTATTAATTATTTAAACTTTATTTACTTATGTATTTATTAAACATTTTGGTCTAACCTTGTAAGTGTACTCGAACAACAAACGGACAGAAAATAACGGATTCACTAGCGAATAAGCAAACAAATCGTTAACACTTCACTTCTATTCTACGACTGCGAAATAACCAAACTAATCAATACGAAGCGAGTTGCATTGTTTTATACTCATGTCCTTAAAACCGGAATTGCAACATTGATTGACTCATGGACTGTGCATGGGGGAATCCCCACCCAATGACTAAAACAATATCGTTCTTTAAAAAAGTACAGTGTGAGTGAATGAATATTTCAAACAATAATTTTGCAATTTTGCATTATTGTCATAGCAATAAAAGTTCTGAAACGTATATTTATGTAAAATGATCGTATTCGTTACGGATACTATTCTATCTAAATAGTTTACACATATATTAACGAAAACTATTGTAAGCCATTTTGACCATACCGAAAACTATTGTAAGCCATTTTGACCGTAAATCACCTATTATAAATTTAAAACGACCATAAACATTCATTTCATAAGGTTTGGTGCTTGTTAAACCATTTCATCGTACAGAAATATTATTATGAGCAGACTAGGTTAAGACAATTTAATACATGCAGCGTTATGTTAGTACTTCTTTTGGATGTTAAGCATGTTATTCGGAAGATTTTTTACACACAATTGTGATTTGGACAAGTTCTTGTTTGTTTGCTAAATATGATTAATTTTGTCGGTTAGTCTGTCTTTATTTTTCAGTAACTCAATTTAAATAGTTAAGATGTTCATTTTCATTTAAATCGTTTGAAATGTTTAGTTTTTATGCGTAAATAACCCAGTAAATTTTTATTTTTTTTATAAAATATAAGTGCGCATTTGACCTCCATCTCACCTGATGGAAAGTGACGATGAGGTCGACGATGGAGCATGCACACCTAAATAATGTCTATTCATTCTCGCCTTGAAAAGACCTAAGTTATAACGTTCAAAGAACGTTATAACTTAGGTAACGTTCAAGTCTGCAGGCAGGGAATTCCACTCCATAGCCGTTCGCCATATAAATGTGGAAGCGTAACGCTTCGTGCGAATATTTGGAATATCCACAACATAGGGGTGGAACCCAAGCCTACGCCTAGTCCTCCGAGGATGGAAAGGGGAAGGCGGAATTAAATCGTGTAATTCCATCGCACACTCTCCGTGATACTCGTATGTCCTGTAAAATACCGATAAGCAGGCAACTTTACGGCGGTGTTCAAGGCTCTGCAGCTTCGCCACCACCAATTCCGAGTCACCTATAGCCTCTTGGTACGGTTGTCAAATGAATCCAAAGTGGCCAGTTGATATGTAGCAGAGCCATCCCAACGGTGGCAGCAGTAGAGGTGGCAAAGATGGGCGACAAAAGTTATATTCGACGATTAGAATTATTTCAAATATCTTGTGACAATAAGTCGAATTCTAGATTCAGTTTATGCGACCCTACGGAAAACGTGATCCGACTTGCACTTGATATTGTTCCCTATTTTCTAACTGAACAAAAAAGCGACTTATTCATCAATACCTCTATCTTCGCGAAAGCAAATTGACGACTATAGACGGGCGTCATGACAAAATGGAAGCTTGTGGCTTTTGTGAGAGTAGCATCGTGCTGTAGAGAGTAACAGAAACAAAATATCATCACAAGAATTGTCGCCACTATTCTAACAAATCAAAGTGTAATGTTTTGGCAGCTTTTTTATACAATTTGGTACACAGATGTATTCGGAACGTGTTGAATTTTATTGTGAATAAGATATTGGTTAAAATAATCATGTGAGCCTCTTGTACCGCCCATGTTGTTTCAGTTATGTATAATAGTTGTCTACGCTTGTACTTGCGTTTTCTTTGAGAGCTTTGAAAATCTGAACCTCAGTATAGAGTTAGACCACGTCCGCTTTAAATCCATCTCTTTTCTAGGAGCAACTGTACGATTTGTAATAATATGTTAAGCTTCAAACGAAGCTTCGTTGTGTAGAATAGTTTTATTGTAGATTGATGAAATAAGTATTTATACATAATAAATTAATGTAATAACTTATTCCTAGCACGTAATAAATAGTATCGTATGTGACCACTAGATGGCATTGTATTGTATAGAATATTGGTGACAAATAGATGGCGCTATTCACAATTGCATAATATTAATTTGCAAAATCAGTTTAATTCGAAGGAAAGGTTTACAACCAAATAAGTTTTATTGTAGACCGTTAAAATAATTATTCACACTTATAATTTTAAGTATTTGAATATAAAGAGCATTCATTTTACTTAATTTTCTCATCAGCCAATCGGCCGTTTCCGCCACATCCCACTCTGGTACTAAAAAGTAGGGTTGAGTGGAGGGACGGAGTGGCGGAACCGGCCGGTGCTCAGTCGAGTGGTGTGAAAGAGTCCGAAAGGCTAGACGAGTAAATTACTTACATAAAGTGATTGTACTACATTGTTGAGGAACGTGTGATCAGTTACGGAAAATATAGTCATATTTCTTATCAACTTGTTATTATTTCACGTCCACTAAGAGCGCTGCAACAGTTGTAATATTAACAACAGCAAGCATCATGCACCACAGGCAACTAAGCTGTCATCTCATTGAAATTCTGTTCGGCTATATTTAAACATCTCTTTAATACAAATGTTTTATTTATTTTTCCATCCCTATTTCTGAATAAGACACATGACGTGAAGTTACCCCACAGACACAGATAGTTAATGGGAAACCCCGACTATAAACAACTTGTCAATAAGTAAGTATGATAAGATAAGTGATAAATTGATAATTCATTTCATCTACATATCGATAAAATCAGTTCTTCCGTGTGAAGGGCAACTCTCTGAGACAATAGAGATGATAAAATAGTAACCCAATAGCATACCAACACGGAAGAATTTATGTGGTCTGTAGTCTGTGCATCCCAACGATAGTGAAAATAAATTATAATACCAAAACGAAGTATTTAAGATTAATAAGATAATTACCTACTTACACCTATATAAAGTGTTACATAGTTGGGTTAAAAATATTATTTCTAAGGGTCATATTCCAGAACTCTACTCAATGCTAAAGTCAGGACTTGATTATGATTTCTAGTGCTTTAAATCGTACTCAAGTCCTGACTTGAGCAATGAGTAGAGTTCTGGAATACGTCCCTAGATGTAGAATGTAATATGAGCCCTTGAAATTATATTTTTCCGATTTTTACATATTTTCCAATTTTTCTAAAACTTTCCACTACCTATTTGAAATTTTTCGAAAAAATAACCCAACAATAGGACATCCATCGCCAAACTTTTTTAAATTGAATCATTCCTACTATATCTTTCTAATTAATTGTGAACTGAATGGCATTTTAAAGTACAATAACTTGAATTCAATGGCAATATAATAAAAAAATAATAATTTGACATTTGGTGTCTAATGTTGCCAGCAAATGAAATTTCTCTAGTTTTTGCAGCTTTCAGTTTGTATGTTTGTAATACAGCGAAAGTTGTTTGTAAAACATCTTAGTTTTATACACTGTTAGAAGATTAAAATAAGCAATAAAAAATAAAGCCTTAATAAAACATTGTTAAAAACAATGCAGCGTCGACTAGGAGGCTACCGCCGTTAAAATGATCGTCGCGTATTTTTTTGAACACTACCAACTGTCAACCGTCTGTCAACCGTGACCATGGGAACTGTAAAGGGCCCAAAACGTCGGTTTGTTTGAAAAAACAAATATACGCGATTTAAATTCGGAAAAACAGTTAAATTTTTTTCTAATCAATTTTTCAGAAAAATAAATATTTTTCCGCATATGTTTTTTTAAATATTTATCTTTTAATTGTCCATATTTGACGTTGACACCTGACAAAAGCTCAAGTTACTGAACGAAAACGATGGAAAAAACAAGTGGCGGTGGTGCGGTTGTTGGTTTTTTCGTGAAATAATTTTAAATCTCGTTCTTCTTTTGGTGGCTTTTAGCTATACATAATTTATTTTATAATTCACGCTAAAAAAAACTTCAAACTATATTTCTTAACGTAGAACATAATATGAGCTTCCAAATTACATTTTTCCAATGATTCGGGATCTTTCCGGATAAATTTCCACTATTTGAAATTTTTCGGAAAATTATCCAAACAGTAATAAATTAAATAACAATATTATTTTGCATTATTAATAATAATTGTCGGAATTGTTTGAGAGAAATCTGTGTCAAGTAAATAATGAGTTTTATGCTTGCAATACTAATATTTTGCGCCGCTCACGCCGCTGTCACTGCTGTCTTCCCAGTGTTGGATGTCTCGCGAATGAATTCTGGGTTAAAATCGTGAAATAAAATTTGGTTTTCAATACAATTTATGGAGCGTAATGCTCAGAGCTGTCGAAACAATTAAAGATTTTATTGTATCGGTGCTAAAGTGGCCGTTTAAAAGTGGATATTGAAAATTAATAAAGTTTTACTGCCGGACCATGACATGAGTGCAACAATATTTTGGTATATTGTGAGGGAATAATTATCGGTTTTGCACGATGGTATTTGAATCTATTGTGGTGGATGTTCTCAACCGTTTTCTTGGGAACTATGTGGAGAATTTGAACAGGTCACAATTGAAGTTGGGAATATGGGGTGGTGAGTAAAAATGTGTTCTAATTTCGCAATCGTGATGTCATTCGAACTTGCTATTTTTTGTGGTTATTATGTACTTTATTATGTTTTTTATTCCAGGCGACGTCGTTCTGGAGAATCTGGTGCTGAAGCAGAATGCGCTGGAAGAACTAAATATACCAGTTCAAACTGTATATGGACATTTGGGTAAGTGTATATGCAGAATATCACTATGTGCTAGTCTATGTGGTTATTATACGTTTATTATTAAATAAAATATGTGTGAAAGTAAATGGCTATAGAAATTGTCTTTAAAATTATGTATATGTACTCTTATTATTTATACTTAGATAGTCTGTTTGTGCTGTTATGGCAACAGCACAATTCAATATCAATTAGGTGTAATAAAATTTGGTTCTGTCGAAATTTATTCGTCGTTTTTTAACAGATGGAAATTTTGGATCTTTTATGAGGCACCATTTCATTCTGTCATTTTGTAAGCAAAGCAGTAAAATAAATACTGTAAAATAAAATTCTCAAACATATTTACTACCTCGCAATATTTACTTACTAAAAATTAAATGAAAAATTTCTACCTTTACATACCTACTTAATCTATTTGGAGCTTATAAACATTAAACGGAAACTTTTTATAAAATAAGACCATATCTTTTCTTTACTGTTATTTGTTGACTGAAGACAAAAGGTTTATGGCCCACTGATTCTTTGTTTAAGTTTTTTCTAATCCTAAAAAAGCGGACATACTTAATCTTCACCATAAAAAAGTTTTATGGAATTTGAAAATTTGTTTTGTATGAAAATGGGCCATAAAAATTTATAGTAGATTTATATATTCTACCTGTTTGTTGTAAAGGCAAATATGTTTATAAGATTTTTTCTAGTAATGCAACAGACCTATGCTTCTGCTTCCGCAACTGCCGAAGTTCCGCACGCTTTTTCACATCTGTTTCTGTTTCTGTTGCTGCAACTTTCATATAACAGAACTTTAATTCTATGTAATGTTGGTGATGGATTTCAGGCGCGCGTGCATATTGCTAGCTGGTGGGGTGCTTGTTTATTGCAATTATGAAACTAAAGACAAGCCCTGTTTGGAACTATTTCATTGAGATCTTTCTATAAAGTACTAATAAATACTAGACTGCCTCCGTGGCTGAATGGTTACCGTGCTGCACTGCCACGCAGAGGTCCCGGGTTTTATTCTCGGGCTGGAGGAAATATTTGTATGGCCTACATTTATTACTCTCATGAGTTTGGGTGTAATTTGTGATTGTCTATGTGTGTGTCCATTGCACCGTCAGCAGAAACCGTCTAACGCAACTTTAATGCTCCGCTCGATCAAAAAACTGGCGATCCAGGTGCAAAGACCATCTGGGAGCCCGTAGGATGGTAACTTCGATAGAAGAGCCTTGTGCCAGACCCGATCGAAAGCCTTAGCTATATCCAAACTCACGGCCAATGCTTCCCCCCTGCTCTCAATGGCAGCTGCCCATTGGTGAGTGAGATACACAAGAAGATCACCAGCACCGCGACCACGACGAAAGCCGTACTGGCGGTCATTAATCAGCTGGCGATCCTCAAGGTAATCTAGGAGCTGGTTGTTCACCACGCGCTCCATCACCTTAGAGAGCAAGGAGTCAAGTCAAGGAGTTATCGCAATTGGCCGGTAGTTGGACGGGTCCGAGCGATCACCCTTTTTTGGGATAGGGTGAACACAGGCAGTCTTCCACGAAGCCGGGACTACACCTAAGCGGTATGAGAGTTGGAAGAGGCGCGTTAAGACCGGAGCCAATTCAGGAGCGCACGTTTTGAGCACAACTGCAGGAATACCATCAGGCCCACTGGACTTCCTGACGTCGAGGGCGAAGAGAGCACGCCGTACCGCGCATTGCGTAAAGCGGATTTCTGGCATAGAGTGCCCACACCACGGGATAGTAGGTGGTGTATTACCCCCGTCGTCAAGATTTGAATTCGACGCAAAGAGAGAGCAAAGAAGGTCGGCTTTCTCTTTTGCGGAATGTGCCAGTGAGTCGTCAGGCTTGCGCAACGGCGGAAGAGACACCCGACAGAAGTTTCCCTGGACTGCCTTGGCGAGAGACCAGAAGGCACGGCTCCCAGAGGGATAGCCCACTAGTTTCTCGCCAATTTTGCGAACGTGCACGAACTTTGCAGCGGCTATTACCTTCTTGCAGGACCTGGAGGCGGCGTTAAATTTCCGCTTCAAATTGGGGGTATCGGGATCATTGACAACTGACGCAGCGGACCAGGCCCGGTAGGCCTCACGTTTTGCTTTTCAAGCATCAGCGCAAGACCCACCGAACCAGGGCCTAGAACGGCCCCCGACGCGCACTGTCGAACTTGGAATGAAACATTCCATGCCCGACAGTATCGCCTCGGCAACCGATAATGCGCAGTCATCAAGATCCTCCAAAGAGAAGCAGAGTCGCCCCCAGGGGAAGGAAGCAAAGAACCCACGCAATCCATCCCAATCGGCTGACCCATAATGCCAAACACGGCGCGTCCCAGGTGGTCGGGGACGTCCGGTCTGAGTGACGCATACCTCAGAACGGATCAGGAGATGGTCGGATGATCCCAAGCAAACATGGCGGGATACCCGAGTGCCGTCTGGGTGAGTCGTCAGCATTAAGTCGAGCAGGCTAGGGGTATGGCCCTCAATATCGGGAATTCTGGTGTGGCCATCCACTAATTGCATGAGGTCATTGGTCACGGCAAAGTCGCGAACAGCTCTCCAAGCATAATCGGTACGTGGTGATCCTAGCCACTCAACATGGTGAGCGTTAAAGTCGCCGAGGATCACCACCTCCGCTGAGGGGAGCTGTTGCAGGACTTCGTCGAGTGCCCGCTGAACGCGGCCCAAGAGTCGGTCGGTCTCCGAGTCTCCGCTGTGGGACCTGTAAAGGCACGCGTAGATATAGGTATGGCTCCCATAATCGACGCGCGCCCACAATAAGGACAGGTCCCTGTCTTCAAGACGATGAAGACGGCGACAGCAGATATCATCCCGGACGAACATGCACACCCCAGCCCGAGACAAGAATTTGTGTTCCAGGCTGTAACCGGGGTACATGAGGTACGAAACATCGGCCGGGGTAGATATCTGCGTCTCCGTCAAGAAAAACAAGGCCGGCTTGGACGCTTCTAGGTGGTGGTGTACTTCATTCAGATTCGAATGAAGTCCCCTGATATTGCAAAAGTCCACATTGAGTGTGGAACAGGGTGCCGCTGAGTACACGCTTTTCTTATTACGACTCGTCATATAAAAAAGGGTGAAACAAGGGAGAAAGGAGGATTGCTGCAGCCTCGACACTTCCACAGGCAAAGAATAGACCAGACCCCACCCTGAAGCACCAAGCGGTGCGCCCCTTGGAATGGGGGACGGAAGGGCCCCCGGTCCGACCTGTGGTTGGCCGACGGGTTCCACTCCGGGATCCCAGTCCGGCACGCCGACCAACGCACAGGCTTTTGACACTGGCGGCAGGACAGCCTCCCAGGCTGGGCAAGGCAAGGGTTCGGGTCCTCTACGAACCAGCGGGCGGTCAGCGGGCAACCGTTTCACCGGGTCTCCCTGGCCCCCACGGCAAGGCGGCACGCCCAGCGCAGCAGGGTAGGGAGAATCGGTCTACACGGACCGAGGAATTGGCGAGGCTGCAACAATCGGGAAGAGGGGACTGGTACTCGCGTGCGCCGTCGGAACACACCCAAAGGTATTTGGCGACGGGTTTCGACACGAGGGTGGTCGCCAACCAGGCGAGTAAGCACTCTACCACACAGCTAAACGGTGTTTGGAAATTACGCAAGGCCACCGTAAAAACCTCACAACCCAGGATTAGGGAATCTGTTGTTCATTTCGCACTACCCAGGAGACACGTGTGGGGTATCGAGAGTTAAAGCCCACGGACGCGAACAACACTGCCACCCCAAACTTGGTGTAATGGGCTGGTGTCCGCAACTCGACGTCGAGGCGCCTATTTTGCGTGTGGTGGGTGCAGGGTCCTACTGGTGCCACTCAAGGTCCTCCAGGAATCTCAGTAGCCTCGTCGGTTTGCTGAAGACTTTGGGGAGCGACTTTGGCACTCCAAGGTACTTCGCCCTGTAGTTGGCCACGCCGGAGCGCTGTAGTATGTGCGCAGCCGTTTCCTACCCCTCCATGCATGCTCTGCATAGAGGGCTGTCTGTGATATCTAAATTGAAAAGGTGTTTATTGTTATTGTTGTGACCATGACCCGTTAGGGCGGCAGTTAGAGTGCGAAGCTCTTGCCTTTTGAGTTTAATTAATATTCGTGATAGACTGGCATTGAGCGTTGGGAGTGCTTCCCTCGCCTTTCTACAAACCGTGAGGGTGGTCCATGTATTATTATGTGAAGATTTTGTACCTTTGTATATAGTTGTTCTGGACAATTGGTAGGGGAGGAACACTATGGGTTCTGGTCTTACAGCGTCCGTCTCTGACCCTTTTCTGGCTAGTTCATCTGCTGCGTCATTGCCACGTGAGCCGCTGTGTCCTTTAATCCACTGTAGAGTTACGTGGTTTTGTATACATACCTCCACGAGTGCTTGATGGCATTCATAAATGAGCCCTGAGCTTATGTCAGCTGTTCAGTGCTTGAAGTACTGACATACTGTCAGAGAGTAATCGAATGGAGTGATTCTTTACTCTTCTCGCTGTGATTGCTTCTGCCGCCATCTTGATACCCATGCATTCAGCCTGGAATACTGTGTTGTGGTCACCAAGCAGTGTTGATATCCTGATATTGAGGTCTTCTGAGAATACCCCAGTACCTGTTCCTGAATTTGTTTTAGATCCATCAGTGAAGACGCGGACCTCTCTGGGGTTCAGTCCTTCATTGAGATCTTCAAACAATTGTATCCTGTATTTTTTGTCAAAGATGTATTGTTTTGGGATCCTATACACAGCCGCCTCCAGTAGCGGTTCCTCATTGAGAGTCTTATAAAGGATTTCTGTATGTGGGGTCCTCTTGTGCTTCCAAAGGTGAAGGATGTGAAGGATATATTCTGTAATTTTATTTTATTTATCAAATGTAACACATCTGTGGTCTTTTGAGTCTGTTCAGCTTAGGCTCTTACAATATACGGTCATAGCATGCAACACTGAGTTTTACCGATTACACTGAATGTTTAAAAGTGATTCCTACTGCAAATTACATTCA